ATTGTACTCAATATATATATTCAACCTATATATATTTATTGTACTCAATATATATATCAAGAGGAAATGCAGGTATTGGTCTTGTTCCCTCTAATCAATTTATGTATTTGAGTTGTTTCCATTTTAGAGAAAATTACAAAAACAAAAGACCAGAAGGGTTAAAATATCACAGAACGTTCTGTCCTCATTACTTGTGTAAAGTCCCCACTGCATCAAAGGGACAGCATGTTAAATCAATAGAGACTTGAGCTGTTAATTTCCAAAAAGGAAGAGATGATTGAACTAAAATAGCCCATGTCGAGTCTCTGCCCACTGGGAATGGAAGTCCCTTTATTTTCAGGTCTTTCTACAATTAGGTAAGTTCCAGGAAGATTATGAGCCACTTTACAAAAATTTCTGATTTTTTGGGGGGGGGGAGGGAATGGGTGGGGAGGGAAAACTTTGCTGACACAAAAGCTTTAGTTTTTTACAGCACTAATTTTACAATAAGGTGATAAGAGGTGTAATCGGTGTATATGTAGGTGTATGTAGGTGAAGTGTGATGAGGGTGGGGTGGGGTGGGGCTGGGGAGATGGGGTCACATCAAGGTCAGTAACAGGTAAGCCTCTTGCCTGTTTTTAATTTCATCTTCTTCCTTCTCTGGGCTATGCCTCTACATTGAAAGTAGAGGGGAGGTGATGCCACTTTCATATTTTACTGATCAGGGGCCATCTTTTTCTAATGTCTTTCCAAGCAGAGACTTGCATTGCATAGGCTCATGATCAATGACTTTTGATCTGGTTTGCATGATCAAATATTTGAAGGGTCTAGTGAGGACCAGCGTGATAAAATAAAGGCCAGCTTTTACTTGAAGACATTTCCTGATACCACTCCTTGGTGGGTCTATTCCTGTGAACTATAATAGGTGTCATCAGCCTGATTACCTTTTACATATACAGATTGTGGAAATTCACAGAGTAGAGAAGTAGGCTTTTTTTGTTTTCAAATAAATATCAGCTGATTCTAATTTTTTAATAAGAGTCCCCCCCCTCCCCTTTTTTTTCTCATTCTATTTATGACTTCTTCAAACTAAGAGTCTGTTGCAGCTGGCTGGGGATTCCTTTTTTTTTTTTTTTTTTTTTTTAATCTAAAATAAATTCCTTTCATTCTTAGAACGGCCATGAGCTCTAAGCTGCCATCTCTGAGCTATTCCCCAGGAGAAGTGCGCAGCAGTTCTCCATTGGCTTTCCCCTCTGTGGTTGCAGTGGATATGAAGGGAAAGGTGTTCCTCCACCTCATCACTTCCCAAAGGGAGCTCCCTCCTCTCAAAAAGTAGCTGGTCTCCTCTGGCAAGAGGTGAGAGGCAGGCTGAATTTTGAGATCAGGAAGGGTGTCTATAGCTCCTTTCTTTCAAACCTTGTCTTTCCGTGTTCCCTGCCATTTCGTCTGTGGATGGGCCAGCTCTAGTGCTAAGCTAGTTCTCACCAAAGTAGGTAAGAGAGTAGCAGCCACCCCCACCCACCACCATCCATTCCCTCAGTTACACATGGGGAACAGTCTAGGGGCCTAGATGTGAACTTAATCCACACCTCCTCCCTCTTCTGGGTGGGCTGCCTTCATGCTAGACTGGTGATTCTCAGTCTTCCCTGCACCAGAATTCTCTGAAGAGCTTTTAAAATGCCCAGTCCTGAATCTATCTACTTTAGAGCACTTGTAACCAAACCTCTGGAGGTGGAGACCAGGCAAGTATGTTTTCAAAGCTCCAGAGGGAGAGGTGAGAATGTGCTCCCTATTGTCCAATGCCAGCTTAAGGCACTTGGCAAGTCAGCCCCTTTGAGCCAGCCTTTAGTAATGGCCCTGCATGCAGTCTTACTGAGACCACCCACATTCACTTTCCATCTTTCTTGTCTTGCTCTCCATTGGTCCTGGGTGCTGCCTTGCTCCTGTCCACTTAGCACAGTGGTTCTCAACCTTCCTAATGCCGCGACCCTTTAATACAGTTCCTCATGTTGTGGTGACCCCCAATTTCATTGTTACAAATTGAACATAATTAAAGCATAGTGATTAATCACAAAAACAATATGTAATTATATATGTGTTTTCCGATGGTCTTAGGCGACCCCTGTGAGAGGGTCGTTCAACCCCCCAAGGGGTCGCGACCCACAGGTTGAGAACCGCTGATTAGCATTTCCTCTCTAGACTGAATCTGGCTTTAACTCCATTCAACTCTGTCATCTCTCTGCCAAGATGGCAGAGGCCACGGTGACCCACGTAAGCTTCTCTCAGAATTGACTACAAGCCTATAAGCCTATTTGGAGCTTCTCTTCCTGTATTCCCTTCATCCAACATTTACTAAGCATCTAACAGGCGTGAGAAATGTCCAGCCCGCAGGCTGCATAAGGCCCACGAAATGATTTGGTCTAGGGGTGAATTAATTAAATGTTTGGGCAAATATAGCAACTAATTTTAAGTGGATAATTTTGAATGGCCCCCAAATGGTTATAAATATCCAAATGGCCCTTGGCAGAAAAAGGGTTCCCCACCTCTGAATGTGTCCAGTTCAATGCCAAGTGCTTTGTATTATTACCACGTTCAATCCTTACAACAACTTATGAGGAAATATCATTTACAGCTAATGAGATAGAGATCCTGAGATAATAAAGACCTTGTTCATGTGTCATATTCCAGGTCTGGTTTTCAAACACAGGTCTGGCAGACTCCAAAACCCATGATCTCCACATTGCCACACTGCTCCCAGTGGAAAAGACCTGGTTTCTGCCAGGACGTGTTCACAGTCTAGTCAGGAAGACACACACAGGAAACAAGCACGAGGGCCAGAGGGAGACTCTGGCTATGGGAGCAGGTAAGAGGGGCATTCACCCAGAGAAGAGTCCTAGAGAAGATGATACTTTGAATTGAACCCCAAAAGATGAGTAAAAGTTATTCACATGAAGAACCCCATATATACAGATGTGGCATCCAGAGAAATCTAGGCTTCCTCAGGGACCTTAAGAAGTTCAATATGGCTGGAGGAGGATGTGGAAGAAGAAGTAAGAGGTGGACAGGTAGGCAGGGCAGGTCATGAGCCTTTAAGCTGGTAAGTTCTGCATTTTATCCTGGGGGCAGTGAAGATTTTAAGTAGAAGAGAGATAAAAATCAAAGTTACATTTAGGAGGAAGAGTTGGCAAAGGACATGCATGACTAGAGGCAAGGAGAACAGTTAAAAGGTTATAGCACAAATTCTGGTGAAATTGTGATGGTGACCAGGACTAAGATATTGCCAGTGAAACAGGAGGGGACAAAATTAGGAGCTATTTAGAAGGAAGATACGATTGGGTTTTATGAAAGACTAAATATGGTGAGTGAGAACAAGGAAGAATCAAGAATGAATCCTTCCCTTGAAATAAAGAACATAGGAAGAAAAGCAGGTTGGGGGAAGCTGTGAGTTTCTTTGAACATGTTATGTTAAGGGGTCCAGTGGGCAGCTGGAGATGAAGGCCTGGAGTCCAGGAAAGGTCTGGACTAGATTTAAAGTAGGAAATCACCAAGGTGGTCATTGACTCCAAAGATGTAATAAGGTACCCTGATAGAGTGGGCAGAATGAGGAGAGCCGCATCAGCAATGACCACTAGAAGGAAGCCCACCTTCCCTCCAGAACTTGAGTATTATTCTGATCCCTGGACTGCTTATTCGGGCCCTGAAACCCTTGCCTGCTTGCCAGTATCTTTCCCTGAAAGAAAGAGAACTCTTCTTTATGCCCTCATCCATTTGCCGATACCTCCACGAATGTTCAGCTCTTCCAGAACCACATCTCTGCTGGATCCAATTCCTGCATGCTTGCTGCTGCCCAGAATCTCTCCCTACCTTACACCACCAACCAAACAGGACACTCTAGGACCGTCATTTGCCCAGGCTTTCTTTTCCCTTTGGGCACTGTATCTTGAATCGATCAAGTTCTGTTGTGGGCCAGCCTCTAGAATCACATTAGTTCCTTCTGGCCCAAATCCTATACCCTAAGTGGGCAGGACCCTCCCTGTTTATTCTCCTTCCCTTTTGGCCCAGGGCTGTGCCCTGGTCCAGCATGCCTCACTTCACAGCCCATGGAACAGCAAAGCAGGCCCCTGAAGATGCTAAAGCTGAGGCTGAAGCTGATGAAGGTAGAGGTAAAGGTTTCTTGGTCTATCCAGCTGCCTGGAGCAGGGGAAGAGGAAACACAGCAGAGGCTAACAGAATGGAAAAGTAGAACACCAGAATTTGCTCCCGAGGGAGACTGGCTGTAGAATACCTTAAATTAGAAGTCTCAAAAAAAATGTGTTAGGGATCCCTGTTGCCTTGGCTGGCTCCGGGTGTGGTTCTTTCCAAGGGAGAACGATTGGTGGAGTTTTTCCAGCCCTATAATTCTACTTGTGATGAGGTAGAATTAAAGCTGAAATGTGAGTTCATAAATTGCCTAGTTGGTGCATAAGACTTTAAATCTCCTCAAAAAAGTTAAATACAAAATCATATTAAACTCCACATCCATCTGCCTACAATGATCTGATTTCCAAATTGAGTATAATTAATTTTTAATCCTAGGTCAGCTTCCCCACCACCACCTGTCTCTCTCGTCACAACCTCCCCCATCAGATAGTGTGTGCTCAGAGAATTCGAGACCATTTTAAATATTAACTGGAGCCATACCTACCTAGAAAGATGAATCCACACACACGCCTTCTCTTCTTCTGCCTATTATTACTAGTATAGTTGCTCATATATTTCTAAATGTAGCTCTGGTTAAAAATAAATTCTGTAAACTAGGAATGTGGGATGTGTCTGCCTCCACAAAAATTCCTTTGTTCTCTGTGTAGAAGTGAGCAGAGATGCAGAAGTACAAAGCCAAGCCTGCCTTTAAGAAAAAGATACTACACCAGTTTTCAGCATCTGTGTATGTCTTCCTGTTAGACGCAGGGGTCACTGAATTTGGAGGAGAGATCTGGGTGCTTCCAGGTTTTATAGCATAGACTTACTTCCACAACTGCTCAGTTTTGGATGGGCAGAAATTCCATAAGAAAGGGCACAGGAATAGACAGGCATGGCGGGCTAAGGCCGGTTATCACCAGGAAGCTGACAGGATGAAGCATCCTCCAAGAGCAGGCCGACCAGGGCTGAATCAGCTAAGTCAGGAAACTGCTGTCAGCATCTTGGGAGGCCAGGGTACTCCTGGAGAGAAGCTCTTCAGATGGAGATCCTCTGCTGAGTGAGGCCTTTTGTCTGGATGAATTGAACCATGCGTATTTTTAATGAGCTTTTGTTCTCCTTAACATTGGAGTTCTCATCTTCTATGACAGACCCACTCACCCTTGGGGACAGGAATACCAGCACAGATCCTTGAAGAAAGGAAAAGGAACTGGGCAGTAAGTCCTGGGGATATATGATAGATCATGCTCAATGAAAGTAGAAACCAAAGAGGGTTGCTACTTGTTCGATACCATTCTAAACAAACCCTGGGTTGTTCACATCCCAGGATTACTTGCAGTAGGCAACTCAAAGGTCCTGAGCCTGAAGGGCAGCTAACAACAATATAAAGCTAAAAAGGAGAAAACTGATCCTAGAGGCAGCCACCTGTGAACGTCGCCCACCAATAGTTTCTAGAAGCTACCAAATTTGTGTTCACATGTGCTGGAACCAGTACTGTCCCTGAGACCTTCTGAAGAATCCAATGTTAGCTGCTTAATAAGTGATCTAAAATGTGTGACTGGAGAAACTGTAGTGTTGAGGGTTTAGTCCTTTACTTTTACATGGCCCCTAGCAGGTGGCATGGAAGGTCAGCTGAACTTAGAATCTTTAATGGAGACAAAAACTTCTGACTGAAGAATGACCCATTTGGGGAAGATAAAGCTGATGATAGGAAATGGGCTGGGCCTAGACATTAGACTATCTTTTCAGTGAGTCACACGTTAGAGGGCATTCAGGGGCTGAAAACGCGGCCTCTACAAAAAGAAATTAGATCACAAGTACAATACTTTTAACCACAAATACTGCAAAGGAAAAAACTTAAAGTAGTCAGTAGTGAAAAAACAAGGCAATTATTAACATCAGGGAAAACAAAAGGTAACTTTCTTTGCATGTGTATAATGATGTAAACACCAAATATTAATTTAACCAAAAATTGTATCATTATGTAGGAAGGATTAGAGAGTTAAAACAAAGGGATAGCTTAAAAGAGTGCTAAATCTTCACTTACCATAAAAGGATGATAATACATCTAAATTGCTGAACCAAAAGAGAACAGCACATGTATATTACTTAATATATGGCAATGTGTGAATGCCAGAACAAGAAGACTAAGGGGAGTAGGAAGGAATGAGGAAGGAAACTGTTGAATTTCATTAGCCTTTTAATGCTATTTGACTTTTTAAATTATGGGCATGTGTTCATTAAAACAATTTCTAAGTGATCTTTCTCCAGAAGGACAAGACAGAACAGAACATCCTGAGTGTGTTGAAAAAGCCAATTAACGTTAAGCTCCAAATGCATTATATAACATAGGAAAGATTTAGGAAGCAAGAGGAAGGCCTAAGGCTCCTTTAGTTGATTTAGGCACAGTTTGATAACAGTTAAGTTTAATATCAAGAGTACTTAATTTGCATGATTTTAAACCTTGTTAATGCTTATATAATATTTACAATAGAATTTATTAAAACTTTCTTTTTAAAAAAGTAGTTTGGGAACAGAAATATACTGAGTGGGTCATGCTCTATACACTATTTCTTTAATTGTCCTTATAGGAAGAATGGCTGACCAGTGGACCTATGCATCCATAAACATCATTGTTATTTATCACGTGCCAGCTACCTAAAGAGCAAAGTATTGACTAGGAGGAATTAATCATCTTCCATAAGATTTGAGACTATGATTGTCATGAATTTAATCCATTTCTTTCTTCCTAGCGCTCTTTCAGAAATGCTAAATATAAAGGAGTTTGCCCAAATTTTTCTTTTGATGGCAGGTGACACTGTTTAAGTAAACATGTTGTCACATTGAATGGATGACTAATGTGGAATGGACCTTTATTTACCCTTTATCAGAGGATTCCTTAATCTCAGTGCTGTTAACATTTGGGGTCAGATAATTCTTTGTTGTAGGGGCCTAAACTGTGCATTGCAGGATGTTTCAAAGTATACCTGTCCTCACACACTAGATACCAATAGCATCCATCCTCTCCAGTTGTGACAACCAAAAAATGTCTTTAGTAGCTCATCAAAGATTTAGGTTTAGTCTATATTATTAACTGCAGCAAAGAACATCCAAACAGTGATTAAAATTTATTATACCACTCTGCATCTGATAACTGAGACATGTTAAGTGAGAAGGTTCTCCCTAAAGTATAATTAGACTATGTAAATTACTTAAGTATTTTTAAATCTGGAATAAAATTGAAAATGAAAAGAATCCCATCATGACATCCTAACACACTGGTTAAATCTTTCTCCAGGCAGGGGAATCTTGCTCCCAAAACCTTTATAATCTCTGCCTCAACTGAGCTTGCTTCAGCTTTCAAGAAACCTGGGGTAGAACCCAGAGGGGTTTGAGCAGGCAATGGCACTCCAGTGAGGATTCCTGGCCAAAGTGAGTACGACTGGGTCTGGGACATAAATAGCTGCTTCATCATCAAAGCCTCCTGCCCAAGAGAAGGCTTTCATGAGAACTCAGGCTCATTGTGTGAAAATTCAGATGACTGAACTATAATTAGCCCGATTAGTCAACATTTTAATTCATAGGATTCTGGCTTTGATGTGTTCCTTTCTCACAGAATCAAAGCTAATAATTCTGGAAACATAATTGGGAGCTGAGTGCCAGCTTGAAGCTTGGGGAGCTCCCTCACCTCTTTGGCAAGCTCTGCTTCCAAGACAGCCGCTTCCTGGCCATGAATGAACCTGGCCCAGGCACCTCCACCTTGCCCTTTAGCTCCTTGCTTCCCAGGACATTTCCTGAGCACCTTTTCTCTGTGAGTCAAGATCACTAGAATTAGGTTCTAAATTTAGTGGTTGACAGTAAACTGTGATGTCAGTATCTCTAAAGCCTGAGCCCATACATTATAGGTGCTCAATAAACCTTTTTTTGGATGTTGCTAGACAAACAATGGAGCAGATCATTGACTGCTTATCCAAGAACCATCCTTCCTATTTCAGGAATAAAAACACGATTTAAACCAACAATTGTCGTGATTGTCTTCTTGATCAAACATAAGCACATGAGATCATTCTGGCCAATGAAATATGATAAGAAGTCAACTGGGAGGATTCTCAGAAAGATCTTCTTGCTTAAAAAGGCATACATACCAAGAGACAGTCCTCTTCTGCTATTGGATGTGGTTGTATTTCCATGTGACACCTAGGACTGTGCCATCTTGAACCAGGAGGAAGACTATCTGAGGACAAAGAAGATAAGCTAAGGATGCATCAGAGAGATAGAAGAATGTTCAGCCTCTCTGCCATTATTAAGCTGAAGCGACTTCTGGATTTCTTAAGTAGATGATACACCTTCCTTATTGTTAACCTATTCTCAGTTGCATTTCCTGCGGCTTATAGCTGAAAACATCTTAATTGATCTAAGTGATTCACCAGATTTTTTTTTACACAGGAAGGGATTTACGTGAAAGGCTAGCCTACTGGGAACTTTATTATAACCACTACTACTTACTGAGCATGGACCACACACACGCTCCAGAACTGTATGAACACTGACTCTAAATCTCACAAAAACTCCATGAGATGATGTTTATTATCTGCATTTTATAAGTAAGGCAATGGAGGCTTTGAGAGCATAACTAAACTTATGCAAATCACCCAGTTACTATACAGGGCAACTCAGATTCAAACCCAGATACGGCCTGACTCTGTTTTTCTCTACATTCTACTTCTCATTAGCTTTTCCAAAGACACATTGGAAGAGATGAGGATAAACACACACAGGAAGGCTACGTTATCTTATAACTTATTTCTGTGTTATAAGATAGAAGGAAGAAAGGAATGGACATTATATCTCCTGAAACTGCCTAAATGGGTAATGAAACCACTGTCCTCAAAACATCCCTTACCATGCATATAAGCCTAACCAAATGGACACAGACACCAGGGGGGTGAGGGCACGAGTGGGGGAGTGGCGGGGCAATGGGAGGATAAGAACACATATGTAATACCTTAATCAATAAAGAAAAAACAAACCTAAAATGCCACCTTTGTCATATAGCAAGATTTCTTTTTTCTACTTAATCCCAGTTATTTATTTATCTATTTTTGTGTCAATAAAATATTGTTTTGATTACAGAAAAACAACAACAACAATCCTCTCCGACATTTTGACATCGGGCCTCCTAATTACCTGCAAACCTGGTCATGGCACTTATAATTTGTAAAGACCATTACTGGCTTCTTTCAAGCATATCTCACCTAGGAACATCCTGTCTCTCATATTCATGACATAGTCCCTGAAGACAGGATTAAAAAGATTTTAAAATCCTAAACAGAAAAATATGTTTCCTGTGCCCCAAACACTCCCCACTCCCTGCCCCAACACACGAAAACAGGGTACCCAGTAAAGACAAAGAAGAATACCAAGTGGTGCTAAGCTCTTGGGACTAAGCTCTGGTCCCAAGTCTGATCCTGGTTTGTTCAAGAGAAGACTGATTCTGGAAAAGGCTTAGAAAGTGCTACAGACTGAGTTTTATTTTCTGGGGATCCTGCAGGACATGAGTGGGGAAGGGTAGGGGTTTCTTCTACAAATAGCCCTAATGGACCACTGTGCCTCCTTATATGACCTTGACTGAGAAAATTAATAAACCCCATATCCTCTCCCCTTCCATTTTCTTCCCTTGTAAAACAGGAATAATATAGGCTAGTTGACCATAAAAATCCTAGATGAATGTCAGCATCTGACTGCTGTGAGCTCCCAGGCTTGCACGAGATAGACTAGAGATCATCCCTGTACCATCCCAGTTTCTCCTTGGCTATCTCACCCTTCACCAACTCCCATCAGCCTCATGAATCTAATGGTCATCAAAGTCGGAAATTTCTTCACATTTCCTGAGCCACTGTAAAGAACTGATAAATGAGCTAATCTCTGCACACCATACATCCCAAGAGCTCACATGTAGCTGGCTTGCTGGCATGGCATGCTGACAAACCTGGAGAGGTAGGAGGAGATCCAGGCTTCCTGGATCCAGGAGATCCATGGAAGCCTAGGCAAGAAGATACATCAACATGAAGAGTGTCATCCCACTGGGCCAAATGCAGCTAAGAGGCCAAGAATGTGACCAGTAGATGAAGCAATGTGGAGCTTATTGGACCATGAGAAGAGCAGTTTGAGATTGAAATGCTAATGGACTGTGTTAAGGAAAGAACAGGAGGGAAAAAGAAGTGTCTACAGACAACTCTGAAGAAATTTTGCTTTGAATGAGATCAAAGAAATGGAAGAGAATGTGCAATCAAAAAAAGTTTAAGATAAGAGATATTAGGGCATCTTTTATAGGCTGATGAGAATATCCATTCAAGAGGAAGAAATTGAGAATGCAGGAGAGAGAAGTGATATTTACAGAAGGGAACCCTCTAGGAAGGTAAGAAGTGGGGGTACTTTATTCTCTCAGTGTGAGATTTTTCTGGTAACTTATTTCCTCTACTCTTCTGATGGACATATGTTCCATGTGCCCTCACGTGGTAGTCTAATCCAGGACAGAGTCATGCTAAGAGCTTCTCTTAGTGTTGCATACTGGTTCTAGGATCTAAGCTGTGGCAATCTTCTTCCAGTTTGCTTCCTGATTTCCCAGTGTACTATCCCCAAGATCTTTTCAAAGGTCAAAAAATTAATGTCTGAGCTCCCTCAATAATATAACTCTTAATATGGGCCAGACATTGCATTTATTGTCCCACTTACTGTTATTATCCCACCTTATAGATGTGGACCCAGAGGCAATGAAATGTTAAATGACCTGCCAGAGGTCATATATCTGGTAAGTGGAGGAACCGGGACTTGAACCCAATCAGTGTGGCTCTGGAAGCTCATCTCTTTAATCTCCCCCATATTCTGTTTCCTCCCTTTGGCTCTTCTTCCAGAAGGCCTAGGATCCTTTAAACCTATAAAACTACTTGTGGCTTGTCTTGACCCTACACACACACACACACACACACACACGCGCGCACACACACACACACACACACACACACACACACGGCCTGTCCTGAAGCCCTTCTAATGAGTAGTCATCTCAATTCACCTGCGACTAGTCCTGTACCCATAAGAAATGCTTCTCATACAGGGAGGGAGGCCTTTGAGTTGCTGCTTTCCTATTTATATCTGGTCAGAGCTGGGCAGGAAACAGATGGCACACTCAAATTGAGTAATTTGAGGAGAGTTGAATAAAGGGACTATTTACAAAGGTGTGGGCAGGATGTAGGAAAACCACAGAAGTAGTGTAATAAGTAACAGCTACTTGACCACCCCTAGGCTTGAAGGGGTAGGAAAGGTGTGAACACCAGGACCTATAGAGTGGGCCCTGTGTGGTTCACCACCTGACAAGAGCTGTGACCATGAGTCAAGAGATGGAGCCAGACCGGAGGTGCCCTCTTTTCACTCCCCGCCCTCCCAGGTCTCCCTCATACTTTTCTTCCCTCTGATCTCCTGCCCAGGGCTTCCACTTGCTAAACCCAACCAAAAACCAAAGGGCAAGGGAGCCTGTTGATACAGTTTGCATGTAGTGGATAGAAAAGAGTGGAGAGTAGATCTAGAAGGGCAAATAGAAGTATCTACCATACTAACCAGGTTACTATTTAGGGTAAAGAATGGGGCTCTGGAGCCAAGTGCCAACTGCCTCTTATTTGCCACATGACTCGGGGCAAGTTATTTAACCTCTCTATGCATTAGTTTCCTCATCTTTAAAGTGGGCTACCTAACAAGAGCTGTGACCGTAACACCAACCTCACAGAGCTGTAGTAAGTGTTAATCCTTAATTTTTTCTCATTTAGATAACACAGCACTTAGCATATAGTAGGCACTCAATAAATACTGGTTCCTTTTCTTTCTCACCTTCTTCAGGTTAATGTATAGGAACGAAGTCTTCAAATTTACATCTAGCCCTATTATATGTACTCAGTATGTATTGCTTGATTGATGATTGAAGGGACCTTTCTTTCCTTGAGGTCTCAGAATATCCTGTAAATGACCCATCCAATCTCTCCTAAGAGCCTGCAACAGTTAAATTGTGGCTTCAAAAGTTCTTGATATTGCTGACATGGTTCTAGCTCACTTCGTGGGTGGCTGCAAGGTTACTAGAGTGTTGGCCTTATAATTTATTAAACTGTACATTTGTTTTATGCTATTGTCTGCATTTGCTTAACAATTTAAAAGTTTTAAAAAATATGTTCTAAATTTCACATAACCATAAAAAATAAAAATATTTCATTGTTTGCTTTCCCTCCATTTGGTCTTTCCTGTGACTAGATGGATCTGAATCATCACCAGGTTCTTGACAAAAGGCATTTGAAAAGGTGATTTTACTGGTGATAAGTGGATCTAGGACCACTTATTTCTTCCTACTCATACTAGTATATTTCTTCTGAGGCTGGGTCTAATGCTTGTCCAGAATGTACACCTGAAGGCAGCTATAGGGTATGCTCCCTACTCTGGCCCTTTCTTTGAAGAACTCCATGGTTCTTGTTGACTGGCTCCAAATCCCTGCCCTTTGATGCACCCTGAACAAGAGGCTTCCTCTATCAGCCTCTTAAAAGCTTGGAGTGCTGGGGCTCCTATATTCTACCAAGCACCTCTGTCATGTTGCCAGGCCTTGTCCCCAATACACTCTTAAGTAGATGCCAAAGTGAAGGAATGCTTTTCCAAGCCATTTACCTGGCATTCTCCCTCTCTATTATAACGTCTCTTTCAAACCTTCTTTCATTATGTGCTTTCCAAAGGAATAAAAAACTCCCTATGACTATAAACTCTACTAGACTCAAAGTTCCACAGTGGTAGAACTGTATCTTTTCATGTTTTTATAACCTATATTGCCGGAGTCATTGACACAGATTAGAAGCTCAAGAGAAGGTTGTTGAAACGAACTGAATTGAATTTTCTACCCCTTCCTGCCTGCATGAAAAATGTCTATTTCTCCAGGCCAGCGTGATCACTTCAGTGGGTCGCACACTACTTGAGGGAGAGGGACTTTGCCTTCTCTGGGAGTTGGTTTTTAACTGGCAGCTGCAGCAGGAGTGTGTAAAAGGATGAAATGGGAGGTGGACAGGGAGGAACCGGCACTTGAGAAACTTGGAGTCTCATTTATTGTTAACATTATTCACAGATGACTTTCTATCTTTCTTCTCCTTAGCATGGATGCTTCTACCCTCTTCTTGTAAACGAGTGCATAGCTGAGGAATTGTATTTGTTTATCTTGCTTCTTGAACAGTCACAGATACACTCCCAGCCCCTTTCACCCCCTGCCTGCCAAAGCTGGCCTAGTGCTTTTGATGTCTTTACTTTTGCAAAAATGACACAGGGCCTGGAGATGAGAGAGTTCGAGCTAGGACATTCAGCTCCTCTGTACCTCACCTTTCCTCATCAGTAGCTGGGAGTGGGAGTAATAAATAAGGAGTAAGAAAGAAGTGGAGCTTGCTGTTGGGACGAAAAGTTCCAGCCTGTGAAACGTGTGATTTATGGCGATGAGACATTCAGATCCAATTCCTGGGTGAGGGCATCTGAGGCAGGGGCCTCAACGTGTTTCCCTACCATAAATCAGGACACAGATTGACCTAATCAGCTGTTTTCCTTATTCCTCCAAGTTCCAAAGTGCAAATGCTTTCCTGCTGAGTAGTTATTTTAGAAGAGGGAAGGGGAAGTAAAAAGCCAGGCTCCCTAGGGCCCTCAGGGGCGCTGGCGATGCTTCCCAGACACCATTGTAATATCTAGGATCTCCTCGTTCCCCAGTTAACGCCACCCTCATGCGGGCTCCGAGTCTAAAGTGACCTGAAACAAGCTCAGAGCACAGACCAACGCGTAGCTTTCCCATCTCCCAAAGATGAGATTCCAAAGGTTTGTAAATAAATACTCCCCGCAGCAGAATTTCATTGTCAAGAAGGACAGCATGTTTGTCCCGACGCCCACAGGAGGGCCTTTTGCCAAAACGAATGGGAAATCAGTGGCCCCATTAACATCCTGTGATCTTAGATCTAAAAATGACCCGGACGGGGTAAACAAGGTGACGTAAGCGGCTGGGCAGGGAGTGGCTCTCTACTGCCACCTGGAGGAGAGCGTCCGCAATGGCGCAGAGGCTCCGGGCTGCGAGAAAGCGGGCCTTGGCCGGCTGGAACCAACTGGAGAAAACGGGTGCGAGCTGGGAAAACGCCCGGAGGGTGGGAGAATACACAGGAGGCTAAATGGAGAGGAGAGAAAACTCCTATGCGACCTCTGCTAGAGGAAAACGAGGTCTGTGTTATCCAGGCCACTGGGCGCTGTGGCGTTAACCCTGCTGGCTTCCTCCTGGGAACACTGCTTTTATCAAAGGACTCAGGCACCATAAACTCTCGCTAGAAAAAATTATAGCTAAAGCTGCGTGGGGACAAGATCGCAACGCTGTAGGCCCTTGTTAAAAACAACTCTTAGTTTCTGAAAGAAAAAAAAAAGGAGAGGCATGGATATGCTAATAAAGGGCCACCAGATTTTCTGTTGTACTTTGGGCTTCTCTGTGACTTAGTGGGGGAGGGAGTGCAGGAGTGTAACAAAAGTCCTAATTTACTTTCTTGTCAGACTAATGTGAGAATGAGGCTGCAAAGCTTTCTGCATTACGCAACCCCCATGCTGGGAGCCGCCCCAGAAATGTGCTGGGGGCTAGATCAACGGGGTGTTACTACTTTCCCTCCTGTAGATGATCCACAAAAGAACAACAAAGAGTTGATTTTTAACTTGTTAAAAACAAAACAAAACCCACTTTATTTGGGGGTTAGTCAGTTCTTGCTGTGTTGCAAACCACCTCTAAATCTCTGTAGCTGGGGACAATAAACATTTCTTTTTCTTGCTAATGGAGCTGCAGGTCAGCCTTGCTCTGATCTTAGTTAGGCTCAACTGGGTTGGCTGAGCTCATCTGGACTCCAGGCTTCGGGTCAAATACAGGTCTGCTCCAGTGATTCCATTTCTGGACCGAGATGAAAGGACACAGTGACTACCTGAGGCATACTCTTCTGGCAGAGGGTGGAACTGTTCAAGAGGCCAAGTCAAAATAGGCAGACACATTTGAAGCTTCTGCTTATGTCATATCAGCTAATATTCCATTGGCTGAGGCAAGTCCAACATCAACAGGGGGTGGAGGGCAGGGAGTGGGATATACCTTGCTTACTCTAGTTGATCCAGAGGGTCATTGTCTGCTCACAGGAATATTTGCTTCCTTTGGGAGAATTGCAAAGTGAGGATGGTCTAGATCAGCGGTCGCCAACCTTTCGGACCTCAGGGACCACCAGTTGGCAACCACTGGACTAGATAAGCCTTATGTATATTGGTGGTCGTCAACATGAATTTAATATTGCATAATAGACACTTCTAGTTCATTTCTCTTTCTAGTTTTACCCTCCACTTATGACATTATGTATTCAGGGACACAATACCTTTGATCATGGCAGGTCTGCCTTATGGACATTCTCTCATGACAGGATTTTTTCAAAACTCCCTGTACCAGAAGGGTGGACATTACTGATGCAGGTATCACCTGTGGAATGACAACAACAGGCAGAGAGTCTTTAAGAAGGCAGCATGGTATGTTGAGAAGAGCACTAGATTTGATAATCAAGAAACCTGGGTGTCTAATCCTGATTTGCCAGTTTTGGAATTTGGAAGGGTTGGCAGAGACCAACAACCAGTTGCCTTTAAAGCCTTGTTTAGTAGCTGGACTTTATCCTGTGCACTGGGGCATGACAGGGTCGGATCAGAGTTTTTGAATAAGCTTTTTGGCAACAGTGTGGAGGGTGGATTGAAGGAGAAACATTGGATTGGAGGCAAGGAGGTGGTTAGGGTATAGTCCAGGTGAAAGGTAATGGGGACATAGACCAGGAATGAAGCACTGGAGATGGAAAAAGGAATGAATAAAGAGCCTTTAGGAGCAGAACTGACAGGAAGGACTTCAAGACAATCAAACATGAGAGGAAAGAAAGGGAAAGAGGAGTTAAACATGCATCGAGGATTCAGAGGGCATCGCACAAATAGGAGTAAATATTGTTTCTCAAACTCTTGTTGTAACTGCATAAATGTATGTGTATGCATGGGTTGGCAAGCACTGTAAAATGAATTTCTTTCCAGGGCTGGTGCCCACCTCCAAATTATACAAAATGGACTATATCAGTGTTTTCCAAACTTCAGTCATTTGCATACCTTAGTCACAATTTTTGTCATATTCAAATAACACCTGCATTCTTTTGTTCTTTAAATGAAGTCATTTTTTTTTTAACCTAAACACTTACTGCAGGCTCATCCTAAAACAAAATCATATATGTGAAATCATGACATTTATGTGCTAGTTATTTGTCTATACATATTGAAACAAATACAAGGCTATTAAAATTAAAACGTATCTGTACAAGGTTTGGCAAATGTAGGTTCACAGTTATTCATATGGAAAATAATATAATTAATCTATACTAATAAAAGGGTAATATGCTAATTAGGGCGGATGTCTTCCAGACGTCCAGTGGCTGCGAGGCCCGTGGCTCATGGTGGCCTTGAACCCTGGCAGCTGTGAGGTCCGGGGCTCACAGCAGCTGTGGGCTCACGGCAGCCGTGGTCTCAGGCAGTCGTGAGCCCTGGTGGCTGAGAGGCGCGGGGCTCAGGCAGCCATGGGCTCAGGCAGCTGTAAGCCC